CAGATGACCCCAGCCAGATGCCTATTCAGCCTTCTCTTAAAGACCCCCAAAGTAGGAGAGAGCACCACCTCCCTTGGAAGCCCATTCCAAATTTTGGTCACCATTACCGTGAAGAAGTTTTCCCTGATATCTAGCCTAAATCTGCTCTCTGTCAGTTTCTGACCATTGTTGCTTGTTACCCCAAGAGGTGCCCTGGTGAACAGAGCATCTCCAATCCTTTGCTGTGTCCCCCTAATAAATTTATAGACAGCCACACAATCACCTCTCAGCCTTCTCTTGTGGAGGCTGAAGATGTCCAGGTCCCTCAGTCTTTCCTCATAGGGCTTGTCATGTAAGCCCCTAACCACATGAGTTGCCCTTCTCTGGACCCCGTTGAGTCTATTAACATCATTCTTGAAGTATGGCGCCCAAAACTGGATGCAGTACTCCAACTGTGGTCTGACCAATGCCACATAGAGGGGAAAATTGTTGTTATTATTGCTACTACTACTGCATATAGTAATAGTGCATAGCATTGCATTCTATGACTGCGTACTAGACATGGTAAGGATAGTGTACTACACTGTGGCTGCGTCTACATGAGTGGTGGGCTGCACACTTGTTACAGCTTAATCAAGTACTAAATGAGTGCATGGTAACCACAATTACTGTGCAGTAGTGTCCCTGCATGATTTTTTTCTGATGCTGCTGCTCATTGCCACTCCACAGTAGTGCCACATCACAGCTAGTTCTCCCCGATGCTACTGTGTAGTAGCAACAAGCTACTGTGCAGTAGTGTCTTGTGTAGATGCAGCCCCTGTATACAATATGAAATACAGTGTATAGTAGAACCTTCACCCATATTTTTAATCCATAGACCTCAAAGCGTTTTAGAAAGGTATTAACTTGTATTACCTACATTTCACTGATGGGACAATTGAGGTCAAGCAAGCGGAGGGCCAGAAAGCAAGCATACATTTTTTATCACACGCTGCCTATTCAGTCCTGTAAATGTTGGCTTAATTTGGCTTCTGTTCTATTTATCCTCTCTTAAAACAGGTAAAATCACTCTCACACAAAGGAGTTATGAAAATTAATTAAAATATGTGAGATGACACTGTATTAAAGTTTGACCAGCATAGACTATATGAAAGGAAAACATTTTTCTTTGTGTTTTGATACATGCATCTTACTAAAAAGAAGAGAGACATACGTAAGTTTCACATAGAAAACTCAGAAATTGCCTGTTCAAAAGAAGGAAAAGGAAAAGAGGAAATGTGAAATATTTAACTGGTTGGTAGATGTGTTTCAATAATGGCCAAAAGGCAGAGAGAAATGTTACGAGTGGAAAAATTAAAGGAACTGTTGTACTCTTTGCAAGCTTGCTTCGGACAATGTATACTTACTCAGAAAGTGTCACTGTTACCCATACCCAGGTGAGCTAACTTTAATTTAGCTCAAATTAAAGCTAAATTACGTCTGTGACTGCTGTCTAGGCATGCATTTAGATATATTTGCATTATATGCTTTGCAATCCTGTGAAATCATTGTAATATACTTGTGCTAGAGAAACTGCAGTTTTGAGATTTGAACAATTTTCCTCAAGTGATCAGAATAACAAAGATGTCAAAGACAGATGTTTGAAAAAGATTCAGCTATTTATTACCTGGAACCTCATTAGACTTCCCATTGCAATCAGATACCTAATGCTCCCAACTCCTTTTTCAAATCTCAATCTTAATCCCTTTTAGTCCCAGGCCTATATATAAATAACTAAATTAGAGTGTGTACAGACTAAGAAATAATATCCCAGTGCTTATTCCTTTATTTTTGTATCCATCAATACATTCTACTACCCTACCATCCCCATACACTCTCTTATTTCTATCTATTCATCCATCAATTTATTTTCTCACCCAACTGCCTCCCCATCCAAACTTTCTTTAAATTAATGTGTGTTAATAATGTATACTAGCTATATTCAACAGAAAGAAAGAACAGCCAGTGACAACTTTAAAACAAGATTCTTACCTCAGTTTGAAATGAGGATATAAAAGTATATAAATGTTTGCTGACTCTTACGCTGGTGCAAAGGACTTTTGTGGGCAGATACTGGATTTGGAAGAAGAAAGGCATATGCTGCATTTGTGCAGGCACGTAACAGTTGGACAGATTTTAGCTCTTAGTATCCTGGGAGTAAAAGTCTAGTGATGTTTCCAAATGCTGCCTTTTGGGAAATAAGGTAACTAATTAGAACCTGTAATGTGAATTCTTGGCTATGAGCACCATCACATCCTATTTCCTGTTGTTGTTGTCCCTATGTATGATAGAAACATTCAGAACTGGCTTTTATTGCCAATGGAACAATTGACCTTCACCAGTGTGTATGCTTTACATTGCTGGTGTTGGAATGATATTGTACCAAGACCTGATGAAGAACGCTTTACTTTCAAAAGCTTATCTAAGTCTATCCCAAGCTTGCAGCTGATTCAATAAAAACTACCACCCACAAAAATCCAGTACCTTAACATGATTTTAAACCAATAAAAATACCATCACCCACAATACACCCCAATGTATGAAACAATAGAATAATCCTCATTAATGTAAATAAAGATGTATATGATTTACCCTAGAGTCTAGGGCATAGACTTAGCAAAAATCAATACCTTTGACAGAGTAACTCCTGATTTACAGTTGAGTGAAAGAACAATTGGCCCCACTGATTTGTGTATTTCTTTTTGGGTTTCACTGAATACAAAATATAGGCCTGTAGTAGCAATTAATGTAAGTGGGTGTGTCTACATGTTCGCTAATGTGCTTTTGGTAGTGTGTGTTTAGTCCCTCCATTTTGAGGTACTACGAAAAGGTGAATTAGCCTATTTCAATGCGTACTAGTGAAAGCACAATTTTTTAATGCACATTAAAATAAGCTAATAGGGCATTTATACAGGCCATGAGATTTCATTTTTACGCTGCCACAACTGCAATTGTGTTTGCACAATCAGGATTTCCTGCCACTTTAAAAGTTTTTTCAGTGCGTTAAACTACAGCTGCTTGGACATGTTTTAGTTTGCGTCGCAACCGCTTATGTTGCCCTATCTATGGATTCGTGTCATGCAAACACAAAAGCACTCAAAGATGTGTAATAAGCCTCTTTGTCCACCAGATAGCACTTTGAAGTGGCGAGATGCTGCAGCCCCATCCCAGGGCAGGAGCGGGGGGTGCTACAAACGTCCCCTCCTCTTCCTTCCAGCTTGTGCTGGGGCCAGACACACACTACTGCCTGCATGAGACAGAGCTACCATGGTCTGGCCCAGTTAAGACAGGGACAGCTGGGGCTCGTTCGACAGGGCTGAGGGGGGCAAGGTCCTGTGGGTCGGGAGTGAGGGGCACCAACAGAGCTGGGCGGGTGGTGTGACAGGACTACAGTCCTCCCTCTGCATGACAGGACTACAGTTCCCAGCATCCCCCAGATGTCCGGGCTTGGTACAGTTTCCATGGGGACCCATGGATCACTGTTTCATCTCAGGGACTGCATAGTGTCCTTTTTCCATCAAGCCACACATCGGAGACATCCTTGACATTTGTGTGTGTGTTCCTCTAAATGTCTCCGGTGCAATAAAGCTGCATGTTTTTCTGTCTGTCTCTCTCTGTTTGCTTTATTGATAAGGAGTGAATATGCCTGCCTCTGGGTGGAATGGAGAGGGGAAGAAAATCCCTCAACTTCTGTTGCTCACAGGAGAGCAAAAGAGATTCAACCTGAGAAAGGTGCTAATTGCCCTATTTGAAATGTAAAGGGTGTTCTCCCTGTTTTGCAATAGGTGGTTGGCTCACTCCTG